TTTTTTTTTTTTTTTTGAGCAATCCCACCCTTCCAATGAAAAGTGAGGCCATAACTTCGGTAAAATCCTCCCTAACACCGGTTTTCAGACGTTGACAGTGCGAGCTCAGGCTGTGATCAGAGCAGCAGAGGGACAGCACCAGGAACCGTGGTCCAGGGAAGCAGCTCTGGGCCGGAAGGAAGTTCCATCTGAAGACAGAAGTTCTATGATTTTTTTTAATCATTTTTTAAAATTTAAAATATTACAAATGTCCCTTTATCTCCCCCCTGAACGTCTAGCTCCTGGCAACCACAGAGAAGGTTGGAGATGCGGAGACCAGCTGACGACAGGCCAACACTCACGCTCCGAACTTTCTCCGAAGGTGAGAAAGACCTTTTCCCTCAGGTTAATAAATGCTGTCCAAAGTACTTGGAAATCTCCTTAGGGATTCTGGTCTCAAGCAACCATTTCCACACCAAACCTTCCTCTGAGTCTGAAGCATTAAATGCTTTCTGTGTCAGAGTCCAGAACTCAGTCCCAATCACAGCACAGGGTCAACACCGAAATCACGAGTCCAGGAGTCCAGGCAGTTGCTGGGTGTGAGACTGAAACTGCACAGCTTCCCGTAAGAAAGTAAGAAGCAGAACCGTCCCGGGTTTTCAGGAGAGAGCAGCTGAAGGAGAAATCTCTGGGTAGAAAGGAGGGGCTAAGGGCCCTATACCTTGTTCCTCCCTCTTTCAATATGTAGACCCGAGGGGGACACGGCTCCTTTAGGGTTTCAGTCAATCCTGAGCCATCACCAAATCCATTTCCTATTGATCTTACAGCTCAACTAGGAGATCCTTCAAAAAACGACAAAACAAAACAAAAATCCTATATTAAAACCAAGAAGAAAACAAAAACTGAGCAAATAAAATGCAATATTCTAAATAGTCCAGCTCAGGGGTATAGGTGCCTGGTCCTGCCATAGCGAACTCGTTTACACTCACGGACCACTTCCCACATTCTTTCTTTCCAACTCGTGGCCTTCAGCTGTCATCCAGTCTGTCACTCGGGGCTTATCTAATCTCTTATCGTGGCCTGTTCCCGGAGGAGCTCACACGTGCTTTATTCAAACCTCAACCTTTTCATTGACTCCTGCTGCCAGGTTCCACTCAGTCACAGGATCTGCTCTGAAAGGGAAGTTTCATCTCTTCCCAGCTCATTCCACATAGAAGCTTCTGGCTTTTTCATGCGGATGCTCTACTGACAGCTCCTTCCCCACTCACCCCATCCCCATTTCCAAGGCGCTTAAAGGAAAGGGACCTACTATGGACACCTACTATGTGCACCTACTATGGACAGATGTGAAATATCCAGGCAGAATTTTCTTTTTAACTTTTAAGAAGTTTTCATAAGCAGCCTCCAATGGGCAGGGCCAGCTGGGTCTGCAGGGAAGCACAGTCCTCCCTGGACCGACACCCTGCTTCCTATTTGAGGAAAATGTGTCGTTACGGATGCCCTGGCTCAGAGTTCCAGTTCCCTTTCCTAGTGGATGGTGAGGAGGTTTGGGGTCCCCTCCTCCCCTTCTGATGTTCTGCACGAAGCCAGATGCCCCCCTGCTCACATTCTGGGCAGGGCTCCTTCTGCGGCTGGGCTCTGCGGATCTGCTCTCCGACACGAAGTCTTTCTGCCCCGGCCGGAGTCTCTGCTGCTCCCTTTGGGTCCATGGTGCCTTCGCCCCGCTGCACTGGGGAAGTTTACACCTTCTGGAAGCAAGAGCTCATTTCCCGACTGCAGCTTTAATTGAAAATACATCTCCCTAGGGCAGGAATGCAGATACCGTGGTGCATTGTCTGCAATGTTAAACACACACCCTACGCTCATGTGCGCAGTCACTGTCGTGTGTAATATTAAGCACACATCCCACGCCCACACGCGCAGTCACTGTCATAAAAGCTTCGATTCAGTCCTCAAATCAACGAAGAAATAATCCCCCCAAATAACAGAACCTGAGGAAGGGTGCAAACACCATGCACCTGTCTCCAAAGACCAGGTGATATTACTTCCATTTTCCACTAGGGTTAGAGGCCTGCCTGATAAAATTGAGACACTTTTAATATGTATTCATGTCAAAAGCAAAAATACTAGTTTTTCTCTTTGGTCCTTACGCCTCTTCTGGAAGACAGCCGTTAGCCCAGCCCCAGCATCTCCCTCACACTCAGGGTTTGGTTTCTACCCCAGTTGTCACACGATCTGCTCCTATTTCCAAGACCTGCTGACTGAGCTAGTCTGCCTGGGCTCTGCTAGAAAACCAACTCTCTCCTCTCTCCTGCAGCAGAACCCTCGTCTGCCACGTGGGGAGTAGATCTCTTATCATTTTTACCCCCCTAATCCCATCTGCTTTGTATCTTTTGGAAGTTCTTCAGTGTCTCGTCCACTAGCAGCATTTCCCTTGCTCCCCAGGGCTACTGTGGGCTCATTTTTAATTTTACGCCTCTTCTGTCATTTCAGTGGGATTTTGAAAGGGAGGGACCATAACCTTTCCCTAATAAACAATTTTGAAGCAAAAACTCTTACCTGAATTTTCTATTTTTTTCTGGACTAAGTATTATTTTTGTAACAGATGGAAGAAGTGTTTGAAGAATAAACAACTTCCCCTACTACAGTTTGGCACTCCAACCTGATGACGCTCACCCTGAAGCCTGCTATTTCCTGGCATGCTGGAGAGATCTCTGGAGAAAAACAGTACGGATGCCTGGTCTTTGACCAACCAAGTTTTCCTCGTATTGTTTTAGGTTAAAAATGAGGATCCAGCAAGTCTTGGCTCATAAACTGTCATTCTGTACAACTCTCTAGGTATTAATCCAAACTAAAACATAGTCTGAAGGATGGCTCTCTGTCTAGGCCCAAGGACAGTTTGTGACTGTACGTTGCTTTCTTTCTTATGAAATTTCTTTGCCTTACCAACAACACAACCTGGTCATTAAAAAGTTGTTTTTTAACTAATGGTCTTGACCTATATGTTTGCAACAAATAAAAATTTGATTCCTAAGTTTAATTTCATAATAAATGCACTGTTTGTACAGGCAGAAATGTACAAATTAATTGAATATAAATATAAATTGATTGAGGGAGTGGCTCTCAACAGAAAGCCACCAGAAGTGCACGATGGAAGTTCAATTTCATTGTTCTTTGCATCTATAGATACTAATGACATGCCTATGAATGGAGGGGAAAATATATTGTGTACATCAATCTTCTTATTGTGACAGTTCAAAGGACCTGTCACCACTGACGGCTGCCTCCTAAGCTGCAAGGATTACTGCTACAAGAGGGAGGGTCTAGCACCTTTCCCATGGCTCATCCTGCCTCTCAGACCCTCTCCCATTCAGCTTCGCCCGCAGCATTTCAACACTTTATTCAACAAACTGGGGCACAGCTTAGTCTGAAAAACAATTAAATGACAGGTCTCCCTTATTTGTGACCCTGAAATACTATTTCATGTTTCAATGATTTTAGGCAATTAAGGAGCTAAATAAGGCTTCTGGAGAAGCATCTAATATGCTCTTCTCTAAAAACTAAGTTTATGAGTTGGAGAATTAAATCATGAAGTATAACCTGAAGCGAGGGTGTAAACAGGAGTGCTAGATGCGCCCCGAAAACGGGCACTTTCACTAGAACTAAGCTAGAGAAGCCAACACCATGATTCTAGGAAAGAGGGGTTCACGGAATAACTCGGAGCAGCTATTCAGCGACTCAGGTTTGTAACTTAAAGTACGTTAGTTTTTAGTTTTTGTTGTACCTTAGACACAATGAATTCACCATTTTCCTCACCTATTCTCAAATAGACAACAACCTACCCCCAAATAATAAAACAGCTGGTTTTTATAACAGAACTGTTCACTTGAAATCTAGATGATGTTATTAACCAGTGTCACCCCAATAAACTTAATTGAAAAATAATTTTTCAAAAAAAGACCTTATCTGATTTTTGTCTCTTCCATAGTAAAAAAAAATTGCTAACAATTTGCACACCAAGTTGATGTCACTTGAATAGCTACCGTACCTAGATTAAATTATTATAATTTCGTGAGCTATACTGTATGTTTTATATTTACGAAAAAATTACGATGGTAGCCATTAGCCATTAAAAACATTTCATATGTCAAACCTTATACTGGGATAATTTTAGTACCTCCTAGAAATTATTTCAAGAATGTAAAATATTCAAAATGTCATGGATCCTTACTAGTGCCCATTTATAACGTAAAATATTCTATCGCTTCTGTTGCTTAGGACTTGGTTATGCTGGCCCTTGAAGCTCCCTACAGCCTGGGACTTTTCTTACCCAACACATTCCCCTTCCACTCCGTAGCACCAACCTCCCCTCCCGATCAGGGTGACCTCTTCACAGCCCCGGAGTGCATCATGCTCATTCCCTTGATCATTCACAGTGTGCTGCAAATATAACGGCTCGGCTCTTACCGCCTTTCTAAAGTCTATGATGATAATCAGTGAAAAGATGCCTATATAATTATTTATTTATAAAGGAAGGAAAAGTAGGGCCTCCCCTCAGACATCCGAAAATATTAGATATATCAATAAGTGTAAAAATGGAAAATGTAACAGAAGAAAACATATGTAAATATTTGAACACAGAATAAGGTCTAAGCATAAAACCAAAAGAAGAAATTATAAATGACCACTAGACTTCATAAAAACAAACTTCCATACATTAAAAATAACTATTGAACCTGAAATAACAATAAAATGAATTTCTATACAAGAAACTGCATAGGAAGACAACTTTTTTTAGCTCTCTTCTCCAAATATTTGAGAACACCTGAGGGCTATTTATATCCAGCTAAACAAATATATTAGTCAAATAACCATGTCTCCAAACAAGATTTTCTGCACATTTATTTTTAGATTTTCTGCTTGTTTTCACTGCTTAATTCTATTCCCTCCTGTTTTTGAACTTAAAAAAATTTTTTTCTTTTTAGTTGATTTTAGAGAGGGAGAGGGAGAGAGAAACATCAATTAAGTTGCCTTTTGTACATATATATCCCACACAACATCCCAACCAACTGAGCCACCCGGCCAGGGCACCTGTTAGGTATTTTAAATGCATGGCCTTCATTAATTTAGTCAACAAATGCTTTTATTGCAGCTAAACCATATCCCAGAGACTAAGTGCTAGATGCTAAGAACATATGGGTGTGCAAAACAGATATGGTCCCTCCCATCACAGAACTTAGGCCTAAAAGAAGATAAGCACTGATCAAGTAATCACACAAGTTGTGGTTAAAACAAATAAACAAAATGTATAGAGCACTATGACCGCATATGAAGAGGACTTCACCTATTGGGGTCATGGGATGTTTGTGTGTCCAGGAAGATAGCCCTAAAGAATTCTTATCTATATAAAACAGTAAGCTCTTATAACCGCAGAGGTTGTCTTAAATATTTTTGTTCCTTTCTGCATCCCACACAGTAAATCTTCTATATTTGTTAAGTGATTTATTCCCATTAAAATGTGAGGCTATCCTTATTAACTGGCCTTCTTTGTTCAATGGTGTGCATGAAGTCAGCTTTAGGGTGATTGAGACATTAGGACAGATACTTTGAGATAGTTTAGGAAGATAAAAACTTTTATTTTTAAAGGATTAAACAACTTAAATCTTACCTAGGTTATAAGGTGATTCATTATCAATAGTTAGATTTAATGCAGAACACTAAAAATCAAAGAAATGACAAACATTTATATTTCCTAAAAAAACCTATTCACATTATTTAGGGACTAAAAATAATGTAAAGAGTTATTAAAAATTGTTTTACTAGCAGTACACATAGGTTATAAAAAATTACATGTTTTTAAAAAGCACATTTTTACACTGTATATCCTGGAAGTTTGTTTATTACTAATTCACAAATATCTTTGCATTGTTTGGAAAAATTTAGTGAACCAATTTCATCGCTGTCTTCTTCAACGTGATCTGATTTACCACATTCTGACAAATTAGATGGCATATAAGAACTTACTTGAGATGTCTGGATTGATTGGCTTTTTTCTAAAGACTTGCAATCTGTTCTTGTTTTAAGTTTCATAGAGATGTCTTGAGCACTCTTTATAACTTTAGAATTATGAATACCATTTTGGTCTATCTGGTTTTCTTTTTCCTCAGTCCAATATGAAGATAAATCACTGGTCGAGATAGTAGATGCTTCCTCTAAACTTTTATCTTGAGTCTCTGAAATGTGAAATCTTTTATATGAGTGTACTGGCGATCCAGCTGAAAAAGGTGGACTAAGAATAAAACTCTTTTCACTGCTGTTTTTCCTTATGGACAATCTGGTTTCACTAGACTTACTCTTACATTGACTATGTTTTGGATTTTCTGCCTCTGGACTTCTGTCATGAGCCTGTAAAATTCTGCTGGTATCCTCAGTAGTACAGAAATCCTCAGAATAGCAAGGACTGGTGAAGTCATCTGAATATTTTAGTTCTGAGATGCTTTCAGAACAACTATTTTTACTTGGTTTACTATCATTTTTATCAGCAGTAAGAATGTCATTATCAGTGGTTTTCTCATCTTTATCTATTACAATTTTGTCAACAACTGCAACCTGTTGGAAAAGAAATGGACTTTGGACTTTCATCTCTACTTTTCCTTCCAAAGTATTTGTATGAGCAAATCTTTCTGGAACAATGGAATCTGCAGGACTCACAATTTCTTCCAATGAACTATTTTTGGTTCTAGTTTCACCATAGTCAACTGTCTTTTCAGTTGCACTTTTCAGTTTTGTTTCTTTAGTTGTACTGGGGTCATTAAAAACTCCACTAATCAGCTTTGAAGAATCACAATTTTCAGCAAAAGTTGTATCTGATTCTAAATACTTATCTTTAGGCAATTGAAGTGGCTTCTGACGTTCTGCAAAGCTGAATACTTTAACTATGGATGATGGATTTCTGAGTTTTGCACCTAACACTTGTGCTTGCACCTTTCTATACTGTTCTCTCTTTTCATGTACTACCAACATAGCAGGATTTGTTTGCTTTAAACGTAGTTTAAGTGTATTTGTTAAGCCATAGAGTAGCTTACCCCTTGGGACTCTTTTTTGGGAGGCACTGTTGTTCTTTTCAAAATATTTACCTTTCTTAAGATTTTCAACTTGATCATTTTTATACTGAAGACTCACTGATTTTTCATTTTCCCCCACAGAAAGCTTATCTTCCTTTGATTCAGCTTTACCGGTGGTGGACTTGGCAGTAGATTCTGGCGACTTCCTATCCTCAGTTCTATATAACCAGGCTAAGTGGGGATGTATATGAACAGGGCTTGCCACGGGCTGGCTGTATAACAAGGACAACTCAACCAACAAAGCATTTAACAAAGGCAACTGCCTTATTGTATTAATTCTACTCTGTTCAGTTTGAGGGTGACATGCGCTTTGATCACTGGCTCCTACATCCTGGACATGTGGAAGATTAAGCACCGCAGGGCTCTCCTGTGCTGCAGAACCTGCAGGTTTTAGAAGATTAGCATGTGCTGGGGGGGTTACAAGTTTTTCTTCTGGAAAGGCACCATGCAATTCCTCGGGTACATTCACTTGAGGCTCGATGGTGATTTTACCCTGTAGAGGAGGCCTTTTTTCTTGGGTCCTGTGAGTGTAATACAGAGGAGGGGGGCAAAACGTGTTCGCGTCAGCGTCCCAGCCTGTGACTGCCCCATCTGGGGGGCTAACACTCCCCACGCCGCCAGCCTCTGAGCAAACAGGGTTGGTTTCGCCATGCTCCACAGGGCCCGCGGTACCAGAGTTGGCCTTACTGTGGAAAACGACTTCCTTCGAATCCTTCTGGGCCTTTGGATTTTTTAAACTCTCCCGGGGCCTGTCAGCATCTGCTGGGCGTGGGTCCGAGTCCGGCTGCTGTAGCTGTTTTTCCCGCTGGGCCGGGGAACCGACCTGCACGGCCTTGTGCACCTCGGCAGCCTGCACGCCGCGCCCCGGGGACGGGACTGGCCGCTCCGGGGGGCCCAGCAGGCGGCTCCCCAGGTCCGTCAGGCGGTAGCGCAGCGACAGGTCCCCCACGCGCTCGCCCCGGTGGCTGCGCAGCGGGAAGCTCCCTCGACG